ATCTCCAGAACTGTAAACATAGCAAGAAGAACACTTGTCCATGATGAGGAAGAGGACACATCAGCACCACCCACTCATTCAACCAGCAGTATTTTTAGTGACAACATCATGACATCAGACCAGATGACCCCAGGAGGGCCTCTTGCGTTCTCCTGCCTGGGGCTGCCACAGTCCGTAGAATAACCTCAGTGTGTGTGAATGTGTGTGCATGATGCCCTGCAATAGACTGGCATCCCATCTGAGATGAATTTGCTCACCTTGTGCCCAGTATTACTGGGACTAGCTCTGACCAGGATAAAGCAGTCACTGAAGACGGATGAATGAACGAAGGAATGAATTAATGAATGTTAACTTCGGGAGGACCTGCAGTCATCATGCTGCACAAAAAGCTCCAGGTTCTTGTGAGGCTCACTTGGATCCTCAACACCACCTGCTCAGCCAAGAAAGCCCAGAAGCATCTTCAATTACTGCAGTGGTTGAGAAGAGCAAATCGCCTCCCTTCCATCCTCAACACTTTCTACAAGAGGACAATAGAGAGCATCCTGACCAGCTGCTGGTCTGTTCAGGACTGTCAGCAACTGCAAGATGCTACAGCAGATTGTGAGCACAATGCTAAGATCATTGGGGTCTCTCTCTACGCATCACTGACACCACTTACCACTGCATCCACAAGGCCACTATCATTGTGTATGACCCCTCCCACCACTCTCATGGACTCTTCACCCTCCTGTCATCTGACAGAAGGTAGCAGACCATCTGTGCCACCACTACCAGACTGTAACAGCTTCGTATCCTGGTGGTCAGATTATTTAACACATTGCTGCACCCCAACACCCACCTGGACTAATGAAGGCCCTTCCTAAAACCCACCCTAGAATGATCACACACCCATTTGACCACCACTGCTACCGGACATGATATATCCATCCTGATGCTACTGGGACAGTTTACCCTAATTAATTTTCTGGTTAAATTGCTGGATAGTGTACAGTTTACAGACAATTGTTTTCAGTAGGTTTTAGGACTACACAACTGCACAGCTATGCTCAGCTCCTTCTTAACTGTGCCATATAATCCTTTAAAATATTGTTAGTAATCATGTTCGGACTTATATTGACTGTATTCACATTCTTGCATTTGGTTTACAATGTTGTGGAATTGAACTTTATGTAGTCCTGTATACGGTGTTGCTGTATTATCATGTGTTGCACCATCGCCATGATCCTGAAGAAATTTCATTCCAGTGAATACGAGTTATATGGAGGAATGACAATAAAATCTACTTGCTATCTCAATGAATGAATTAACCAATATAAACAGACTGTTTACATTAAAAGTAAGCAAAGAACATAATGTTTATATGCAAAAATTTTTCCTCAATCCCAGTAAACTGAATGCAGATTCTGAATGAGCTGATTCTGATTGCACTGATCAGTTGGAAAATTGACAGAAAATTTATTAGCTCAAGGAAATGTAGCTAATGACAACCCTGTTGTTCTTTGGTTACGAGCATAATACAGCATACAGAATAAACAGTTTCAATTCCTGGTCCGTGAATGTGGTAACAGGCCATCATATGGACAACATTTTTTTATGAAATCATTTCTGAACCATTTTTAATAGTTTGTCCTGCATGCAGCTCACAGGACATATTTTCATTTTGACCAAGTGTTTCAATCCACACAAGCTGAGAGACCCACATGCATTTTTAAACACTCACAGCAGTCACGTAATTGATCAGTTTCTGACTCGAGCCATTTTCTATATACAGTATATATATATATATATATATACACACACACACACACACACACATACACACACACATATATATATATATATATATATATATATATATATATATATTTGCCCAAGAAGAATGGGCAAAAATTCATACAAGGATCCAGATACACAAAGTTGATAGTGGCTGAGAAAGCTTGCATCTTTAATTACAGCCAAAAGTGGTGCTATCAAGTACTTTTGGGGTTAGACATACTTTGTAAATCAAAAGAGAAATTTGAGTTAGTGAAACCCATTTCAATTCCAGGTTGTAACACTACAGAATGAAACAGAAATAAATATTTGTATTAATCACATTTTCATGACAGTAATGTTGAGAACTCCATATAATATTATACAGTAGTTAAAGTTTCCTACATTGTTGGCACCATTAAAGCGATATATCTCTGCCACCTCCTGAATCACAATTTAACCACTGGATCTTGGCTACCACAGTCCTATGTGACCCAGGTTTTTATGATTATAACAGTGATGGTGATGGTTAATAATTTGTTGAGGTAAAGACAAATCTTTTTCCATTAGTGGGTAAGAAACTTGTAGGCGCCTGTTGATTATGCTGCATAAAAATCAGTGTTTTAAAAAGCGCCAAGCACAATAGACAGTTCCTTTCGGTATGAATCTGCTTTATATACAACAATATTAATATCACACAAAGGAGTGACTGGATTTGCTATTACTAATAAGTTGAATACAAAGGTTCGCACTCTGTGGTCTGTAAATCACAGGCATTTCCATCAACAACCCCCATATACAAGTCTTTGGTGAGGCCCAGAGGCACAGCTCCTCTGGTCATCCCCTGTTAGTTCTGTAGTGAAACCAAATACAGGGAGACGCACACTGCACCATCCCAGAGCCTCAAATCCTCCCTTGGAGCAGGACTTTTTTTTTTTTTTTTTGCACTAGCTGTCAGGGCTGCTCAGTTGATGCAGAAGTAGTACCTGTCTTCTTCTGTTTCCAGTGCTTCTCCACCACCTCATTGAGAATTCCAGTGCTCACCTGACAAGGCCTCAGCAGGGGCCTCCTGCCATCTGGCCCCATTTGCATGCTAGCAGCCAATGAGACACTCAGAAGCTGCTGGGGTTTAAGACTGCCGCCTCCAGCGACTAGCTGCAGTAATATATGAAGCGGGACGGCTACAGGAGCTAAAGCTCTAAATTACCATCTGGACATCCACAACAGTTTTAAAGAAGAAAACTGGTAAGATGTTCTGCTGAGACCTACTGCCCAGTGAAAATTAATTCCTGTCTAATCAACACAGCCAGCAGTGCATATAAGCTGCTTAGCCCTAGCCTATTTGCTTTCTGGCCTTTAAATGTAGCAGATAAAAGCTTTTGTCTTGGGAAACTGTTATGTGATTAGACATTCTTTTTACTATCTCCTGCATCCACTCATAAAAAAAAAATGAAAGTGGTGGTAAATCCAATTTTCCTTCAGCAAGAAGACAGCAAGAAGAAGTAAGAGTCTCAATTGTAGATATGTAATTGTTAATGTGCTAACAGAATTAAAAACTGTTAATAGCCTGAATGCTAAAGAATTCAGGCCGGAATGAAAAAGAAAATGATCTTAGAGTGTTATTTTTAATTTTAAGGGCTTTTAATCCCTTCTGTTCTTCACTGAATGACGTACTACGTCACATCACATTCCAAACTTTCCTCAGTGCAAGCACTCAAAACAGCTATAGTCATTTTCTGAAAATACACAACCTAGATTTCTCACATAACCTCCAATCTACCCCAGTCTTCACTCTTATTCTGTTGTAAAATAATTTAAAGTATTTGTATAGGTAAATTTACTATTTTCCCCATGAAAATAAAATTAAATTAAAAAACAATTCAATCAGGTTTCAGGTTTTTTGGAACTGCAACAAGATAATGATCCTAAGCATGCATCGGGATAGTGTCTTGAACATTTTGTACTAATGTTTTGCTCTAAAATATATTTTATTAACTGTACGCTTTCTAAATTTTATCTTATTTTAATTAATTTTTTTATTATTTATTATTTATTTGAATAAATATATTATGCGTGGATAAGTTTCACTCTAAAGCAAAGCAAATGCATTGATAAAGGTTCTTAATTTGCTTATAAATGTGTTTAAACATAAGTAACTGCTTTGTAGACTGGTGCAGGAGTGTTGGTAGGATTCGAAGACATTCAAATGCAAAGGGTTTTTTTTAATTTTTTTTATTTTATTTCACCTGCACTATTTTCAAAATTGAGAACTTCATTTCACTAAGGATTTAAATAATTACATAAAAATTCTGAAGTTTATTTTAGTTCCATACTAAGCATGTAATTTACAATTTATATTCCTTTCACCTAAAATATATGATATTTCTATATCCAAAAATTATGGGCTATTTTGCCTTCAGATCAGATCAGACTGTATTGTGCATAATATATGATTACACTGTGTACAGCAAGCATTACTGTGCATTTTCTGTGATGGCCGTAAGCCAACTTGGCAGAGGTAATATTACTGATTGGTTCACAATTCCAGTTCATAATATAATCTGTATGTAGAAAAACAGTTGCTTGTTTTTAATAAAGCTATGAAATGTTAGTGCTTCCATCATTAATACAATAAAGATAATGATTGTGCATCTCTGTCTAATGATAGATGTTGGCTAATTAAAAAATATTAAAGGATACACGCTTACACTCAGCTCTGACGGCTCTTTGCAAACTCTTGCGAAGTCTTTTTTTTTAGTTTCTGACACCAGGTTCAGGCTGTAACAAATATTCTTATGTAAATTACATTTTCCAAGAGCAAATATATAAATAATTCACATACTCACTAATACGTAAGAGCAGAAATCAGGATCTTAAATGTAAATAGAGTGGCCCTCATAGGCATGACACCTAAAAAATAGTCTTTATGTAAAAAGAGTCTTACCATTCAGTGCCACCATATGCAGTATATCCTCAACATCCATGAGTTTAAATTCCCTTGCAAAGGCAAAATTCGATGATCCTAAACGAAAGAGTGCTGAACGGTTCTTAATAGGGCTAGAGCTGAATTTAAACATAAGAGCCAGTTTTACCTCTTGAATGGTTAAAAGAGCTGTAGATCAAGCTTGTAAAGTAATTAGTATGATGGGTCATTTACTCAACAGAATTTTAATACAAGAAATTATTATTATTATTATTATTATTATTATTATTAATATATTATTATTATTCTCTTGTTCAAGCACTGGTCCCTGGAGGACTAGTGGGTAGGCCACACTGCCTTCACCGCTGCAACCCGGGTTCGAGTCCTGGCCAGGGAACCGACTCCAGCAACTGGGGTTGCATGCAACAGTGAGCTCTCAGTGCCAGTCCCAAGCCCGGATAAAATTGGGGAGGGTTGTGTCAGGAAGGGCATCCAGCATAAAAACTGTGCCAAACTCAAATACACAGACAAGTGATCTGCCGTGGCAACCTCTAACGGTAACAGCTGAAAGAGGAACAACAACATTCACTTTTCAAGCACTGAAACATTTACATATTGTGTAGAATAAAAGTTAACACCCCCATATAATTATTTTTAGTGATGCAAAGGCTCTGCTACAAGTTCTTGGCTTGAAGATCTCAGTGCATGTACTTTATGGGCCTTTTCTAAAGGCAATTCAGAACTCAGCAAATATGAAAAATGAGGGCAGTGATGGTCTCTTGTCTCCTGAAAAGCAGCAAAAATGTTTGATTTCTCTCCTTGATCTCACTTACTGTAGCTCACTTTAGGAACTCAAAGGCAGCAGTGTTCTGTGCTGAGAGGCTTGGCAGTGTTAACCTGTGAGTCTGGCCCAGTTTCCTGGCTGGTTGGGTGTGTAAGGTTGCTGCGACACTTATTTGCTTCCCATTAATCACCTCGGTTCCTCTGCGGGCTTTATGTCATCATTACTGACTCAGCCGCTCTGTCTGCGAAGTGCTCTGGCACATTTGAGTATTTCATTACCTGTATGCAAATGGCTGAATGCCTCAGGTCATAATTTATGTAGGTTGCCGCAGACCTGTGCCCATATTTCAACTTCCGAACAAACGCTTCAGACTGTAAAAAATAACCTGACATGCGAAGGTACCCTGAAGATATAGATTAACACCTGCGTCTGATTCTTTTTTTAATGAGCATATTATTTGCAATCAACCATCAATACAAAGAAGCTCCATATGTTTGGAGGTTTGCAAAGCAAATTAATGTTTTTACAAAGTGATTTATTTGCTTTTGGGTATTTGCTTCATGGTGGAAGGTAAGAAGTAGATTTACACTGTGATTTGCTTTTCCAAATAAACTATTTGTTCAAAAAAATTAGTTCAATCTCAGACAAGTTGTACATACTGTACATACTTGAGGAGCTATTTGCCCATGAAACGTGCATATCTGTCTATAACACACCATGACCTGTGCAAATTATTCCAGGCATAGTACAGGTGTTACCATTTTCTATAGTGGTTTAATAAACTTAAGTAAGAATGTAAGCAACTTCAGTTCAACTATTTAATCTAATTATACGATTTGTACAAACAGGAAGTTGCTTTTTGTTTGAAGACACTGAAATGGTGTATCCAGTCCTTTTACGTCTTCAGCCCCCTGAAAGTAAATAAATCAATACGGAATTAGACAACAAAAGAATCTAAAACAACTCAGAATCATTGTGCTAATCTTCTCTTGATTATATCATATGGCCATTTGTCTGCCTCATATGTCCCAAATAACACTTCATTCCGATTAAATCTAGTACATTGGGGAACAAAACAAAACCAAATTGCACACCAGACAAAAACCAGAACTGACATGTTCACATTCAACCTTATGAGGCATGTTATACACCTGGTCACAATTAAAGTGTCAGAAATACTGTATATACTCTACAGTTTCTTCTTTCTGAACTAGAAAGCTTTCTACCTAAAATCAAGATTTAATGCAATGGACCAGTCATGTTGAATCTTACTGTGAAGTGAAAAAAGTCACTTTTTTAAGTAACTTAAAAAAGAATTCAGTACATTAAATGTGAAAGGATACAACCACAAACTTGCAAATTTGCTCAAAAGCTAAAAGGATATGTTCAAAAGCCTGTTTCTCATAAAGTCGCAGCCTGCTTTGATGGGATACTGTATAAGGAAGAGAAATTAATGAGAAATAAATGCTTAAAGTAATCAAAACGCACAAAAATAGCTAAATATCAGAGATATGTAAATCTTTTATTCACACTGAGGTACAGACAGAGGGACAGTGAGTAAGAGAGACACACTGAGAGATTTGCAGTGCTGCTTACAGCAATGTTGCTTGTTTAGCCTGGAGAAATCTCACTAGGGAGCAGCTTGCTTTTTCTTGCTTTTTTATTTTTTATTTTTACTTTACCAGTCATCATTTATCTTTTTTTCCCTTTCATCAAATGTAATCTCATCTCATCAGGACCTATTCACCCTTACCAATTCTGTCAAGTTATAATGCAGTTTTCTCAACGTTTCCATCAAAAAAATATGCTTTAAAAATGAACTTCCTGATGTGTATCTTTTATAGTGACATTATAAGCTTGAGTCTGCAACAGATATTTTCTGATTTCTTTTAAAATTCTTCATTATGACTCTGGTGTGTAACTGTTATTTGAGCCTTATTAGCAAAGCCAAGTTGATTTGGGATTTAGGTTATAGTTAGCTGATTTTCCTAGAGTATTATTGTTTATATCTTAGGTTTGCCTATATGAACTATAGTCTGGAGTGAAACTCACTAATCAGGTCTATACATTTGACATTCCAAACTTGTCATAAGTCTTAAAATACACTATATGGCCAAACGTTTGTGGACACCTGACAATCACACCCATATGTGGGCCTTCCCCAAATTTTTGCTATATAGCTGAAAGCACATAATAGTCCAGAATGTGTTTGTATGCTGTAGCTTTACGATGTTCCTTACCTGGAATTAAGGGGCCCGAATCTGTTCCAACATGACACTGTGACTATGCAAAAAGCAAGCTCGATGGTAAGGTTTCCACATATGTTTGGCTATATACAGGGTGTCCCAAAAGTCTCCATACATAGGGGAATTTGAGAAAACACCTTTTAACAAAATGGCTTCCAACATTTTTGATGTTTAGTTTATATATACAGGTGAAACTCGAAAAATTAGAATATCGTGCAAAAGTTCATTTATTTCAGTAATGCAACTTAAAAGGTGAAACTAATATATGAGATAGACTCATTACATGCAAAGCAAGATAGTTCAAGCTGTGATTTGTCATAATTGAGATGATTATGGCTTACAGCTCATGAAAACCCCAAATCCACAATCTCAGAAAATTAGAATATTACGTGCAATCAATAAAACAAGGATTGTACATAGAACAATATCGGACCTCTGAAAAGTATAAGCATGCATATGTACTCAGTACTTGGTTTGGGCCCCTTTTGCAGCAATTACTGCCACAATGCGGCGTGGCATGGAAGCTATCAGCCTGTGGCACTGCTGAGGTGTTATGGAAGACCAGGATGCTTGAATAGTGGCCTTCAGCTCTTCTGCATTGTTCGGTCTCATGTCTCTCATCTTTCTCTTGGCAATGCCCCATAGATTCTCTATGGGGTTCAGGTCAGGCGAGTTTGCTGGCCAATCAAGCGCAGTGATCGCCCGGTCATTGAACCAGGTTTTGGTGCTTTTGGCAGTGTGGGCAGGTGCCAAGTCCTGCTGGAAGATGAAGTCAGCATCCCCATAAAGCTCGTCTGCGGAAGGAAGCATGAAGTGCTCCAAAATCTCCTGGTAGATGGCTGCGTTGACCCTGGACTTAATGAAGCACAGTGGACCAACACCAGCAGATGACATGGCTCCCCAAATCAACACAGACTGTGGAAACTTCACACTGGACTTCAAGCAGTGTGTGCCTCTCCATTCTTCCTCCAGACTCTGGGTCCTTGGTTTCCAAATGAGATGCAAAACTTGCTCTCATCAGAAAAGAGGACTTTGGACCACTGAGCAACAGACCAGTTCTTTTTTTCTTTAGCCCAGGTAAGATGCTTCTGACGTTGTTTGTTGTTCAGGAGCGGCTTGACAAGAGGAATACGACATTTGAAGCCCATGTCCAGGATCCGTCTGTGTGTGGTGGCTCTTGATGCGCTGACTCCAGCCTCAGTCCACTCCTTGTGAAAGTCCCCAACACTTTCGAATGGCCTTTTCCTGACAATCCTCTCCAGGCTGCGGTCATCCCTGCTGCTTGTGCACCTTTTTCTTCCACACTTTTCCCTTCCACATAACTTTCTATTAACGTGCTCTGATACAGCACTTTGGGAACATCCAAAGTCTTTTGCAATTACCTTTTGAGGCTTGCCCTCCTTATGGAGGGTGTCAATGATGGTTTTCTGCACAATTGTCAGGTCAGCAGTCTTTCCCATGATTGTGATTCCTACTGAACCAGACTGAGAGACCATTTAAAGGCTCAGGAACCCTTTGCAGGTGTTATGGATTAATTAGCTGATTAGAGTGGGACACTTTGAGCCTAGAATATTGCACCTTTTCACAATATTCTAATTTTCTGAGATTGTGGATTTGGGGTTTTCATGAGCTGTAAGCCATAATCATCTCAATTATGACAAATCACGGCTTGAACTATCTTGCTTTGCATGTAATGAGTCTATCTCATATATTAGTTTCACCTTTTAAGT